TCTGTTCTCACAACGGTGACAAATAAGAGGGCATTGAAACCTGGGTCTCCAAGTCCTAAGGAACTAATGAGGGTTTTTAAAGACAAGGATCCATTTTCTCCTAAATTCCAGATGTTCAACAGTGTATCCAGAAGGAAGCAATTCAGATACGCATTCGCTATGTCGGAATCTGTTGAACTCACAAATGCCGTGTAAAGAATATTTTTTAAAAAAAAACCCAGAGGAAACTGGATTTGGTATACTGGCCTTTTTTTTGTGTGTGAGAGCAATGAACCAGTGGAACAGAAGTTGCCTTCGGGAGTTGTGGGTGAAGAGAGTGGACAGCCGTTTGTCTGAAATGGTCTAGGGTCTCCTGCTTCGAGTAGGGGGTTGGACTAGAAGACCTCCAAGGTCCCTTCCAACTCCTGTTCTGTTCATCACTGGCGTTTTTTAAGAAGATAGTGGACAGTCACTTGTCTGAAATGGTTCAGGCTGGGAGCTGGACTAGAAGACCTCCAAGGTCCCTTCCAACTCCTGTTTCTATTCTGTTCTGTTCATCACTGGCGTTTTTTAAGAAGTTAGTGGACAGTCACTTGTCTGAAATGGTTCAGGCTGGGAGCTGGACTAGAAGACCTCCCAGGCCCCATTCCAAATCTGTTGTTCTATGTGTTTTATATAGCTTTGCTTAGCTTACAAACGGATTCACACCCAGAAGGAGCACAGGGAATGGGAAAAGACATTGGCTGACCCGTTTTAAGAGTGACAGCAGGAGGAGGACCCCCACTCTCAACCCAGATGGCTTCTGTTTCCCTCAATCCAGTTTATGCCACAGAATGCATCTGCCTGAGAACGAATCGTGGGTTGAGCATAGTAGCTGTTTCCTTAACTGAGTTTGCAGGATGATGAATATACAAGGGGAAAACCACCGACTTCTCTGCCTCCTAACACCAATAGCTTCTATTGGATTTTCTCCCAGTGTTGCTGAAGTTTTATTATATTTCCTAGGCCTAGGGCACCTAACATAGATCAGGCAGGTAACAATATTCAAGAATCGTGTTATAGTTACATTTTTCCATAAGTTAATTGTCGGATTCCTCGCCTGTATAAATACAACTGACCTTCAGGGTGAAGCGGTTATTCTTCTCCGTAATTAAAGCATCCCTAGTAGCGTGTTGCATTTTACATGTTCGTATAAAAACATGGTGAATGGGACAAACACCCGCGCTCTCCCTGTTAGTAAGAAGCAGGAGTGAGCAGAGTCTGTTCGTGGCTAAGCTAAACCTCCGACTGTTCGGTACTGTCCGAAATGACCGATTTCAGCGTCGCGTGGCACAGGCGGTTCAACATGGAGACCTTGGTCTTTTGATCAATGTACAGCTTCAGTTTGTCCCTGAAAGTCTCCCCCAGGAAGCTGTAGATGAGCGGGTTCAAACAGCTGTTGGAGAAGGCGGCCAGATTGACTATGTGCCCCGTTAAGGGGTAGTTGTGCCTGAAAGAGCGGCCTCTGGACGCGGACTCTTCCGTCTTCTGGAGAAGCTGCACACTGATGAACACGTTCTCCGGCAGCCAGCAGATGAAGAAAACCAGGACCACCACGAAAATCATGCGCAGCGCTTTCTGCCGGCGGAGGCGCAAACTCCGGTGCTTGTGGGCGCTGATCAGCACGCGGGCGATCAAGGAGTAGCAGAGGCCGATGATGGCGAAGGGGATGATAAACCCGACCGTGATCTCCAACCACTGGATTTCCGCCACGTCGGCGAAGCAGAAGTGTACCTCCCCCGAGTGCTGCCAGTGGACGGCCGTGAAGGGCACCAGGGCGGCCGAAATGGAGCCCAGCCAGATGAGGCCGCAGCTGAGCCTGGCGTGCTCCATGGTGCGGAAGAGGTTGGACTTCATGACCTTGGCCAGGGCCATGTACCTGTCGAAGCTCATCCAGGTGAGGAAGAAGATGCTGCTGTACATGTTGATCTGCAGGAAGAGGGACATGAAGGTGCAGATGGCGGTGATGTCGTAGTACTTCTCGTCGAGGTTAAACACCTCAATGAGGGAGTCCACCACCAGGATCAGGTCGGCCGCCGCCAGGTTGATGAAGTAGAGGTCGGGGATGGTCATCTTCTCGCGGAAGCTGATGTTGACCACCAGGATGAGGATGTTCCCCACGAAGCCGATGGGGAAGAGGAATATCGTGTAGAGGCACGATAAGAAGAGGCCGATCACGTACTGCTGATGCTCAGATCTGTCCACCAGGCTGAGGGCCCGGGTCTCGTTGCAAAAACGGGATCCGTTGAGTTCGAAGTAGGTGCCGTTACACAGCGCCGGAGAGGCGGTTCCCACGTAAATTCCCGTGGTGTGATTCTCCGTGAAGTACGTAAACGACTTCTGCGCCAGGGTATTCAGCTGGGCCGTGGTTGCAAAGAGGTCCGCGGAGATCATGACGGTAGCCTCCGGAGGCCGAATCAGTTAGAATATTCGGAACTTGGAACATGGGAAGTCCTCAGTACGACGAGGGCCCCGCGGATTCATGCCGCGTCGCTAAGGAACTTTGGAATAGCCATAGAGGCGGTTTTGGGCAGGCGTGCGTTTCGCCTCGCTCGAAGGCCTGCTCGCGGTTTGAAAGATGCAGATCCATCTAGGACCGGCTCTCCCTGCTTGGCGCGCCGTGAATGCTCGACCTGCAATTCATGAAAAAGAAAATTAATCTCCTTCCTGCAAGAATTGGAAGCATCCAGCGAGCGTATAGCAACACGGACAAATGACTTTGGCATCTGCTGCATGCAAACTCCCCCTCTATTGTCTTTGGGGGTTTTAGTGAGACGAAACGGCACAGGCCAGCGACGTGTCCGTGTTAAGTGCAGAAAGCGCTTAAACAAACAAGCGTCCTCTGAGAGCTGAGATCCATTTAGCGACGAGGGGAAAAGTGCCTCGCTTTGGCACGGAAAGGAATAAAAATCGGAAAGAGAGCAGATTTGGGGAGAAGCAGGAATTGCTTTTGAGTTGCTGAATTGAGTTCTTTCTTTTTGTAGATAACTGTTAACAGCCCGTATGATTATTATTATCTCCTCCTGTGGCTGAAAAAAACAAGGGGTAAACCTTTACAGACTAGAGGGAGAAAAAAAAGAGATTTTCCTGGTGTGTTTTTTTTTTTTAATAGAATCTGTCTAATTTCTAATTGTGATTAAGAGACTGCCTGGAATCTATCTTAAGAATGAAAGGCTTCCAAAAAATGCACCTTAAGTAGCTGCTGTTTCTGTTAAAACCTCTCCCTCTTTTACACTTCTTCTGAAAAATTGAAATATATTAACGAAAGGAGCTATCCAAAGGACTAACGTTTTTTAGTCATGGTGGGCAAAAGAAATCGAGCAGCAAATTTCGGTCAGCGAAAACAGCATTTCAAAGGAAGAAAAAAATGGTTTTACTTGTTCGATTCTGTTTGTCCTCGGCTTGTCTGAGATAACAGTTTGATCCCGCTTTAATGAAATATTGCTAGGACCCGTTCATGGGACTGTTCTACCCTGTTTCTTCGGAGTTAATAGATGGCTTGTGCTTCTGATGCCTCGCTCGTGAATTATAAGTCGGTTCTTATCCTTTTTACGCGAAACTAAGCAAGTTTCGTGGGGTTTGGTTCTGTTTTATTTCGAGAACTAAAAAAAAATTACTTACTTAAATTCTGCAATGTCTGAATGACTGTGGAGCTGTCCCTGATCCAGTTTTTTTACAATTAAAGCATCCTTTCCAAAGTGTGAAAAGCCTTATAAAAGTTTGATTCGCTTGACAGAGGTTGACCCATAGCACATCTGTATTTTAACCTGCTTTTTTAAAAAAAGCCTTATTCCGGAAAGTGTACAATAAATCCTTTTTTATAAACAACCATGAAGTGCACTAAAGTGCATGGTGGTTTTGGGTTTTTTTAAAAGGAAAAAAGTACTTGAAATAATGCTGTTTTGGTGACAATCCGTTTGTGCACTAGATGTGCCCCAAAACCTAACAGTATTTCAGTAACGTTCCTTACTTCCAGCTGTCCTCAGGTTCATTTATTTCTGCATTTATTGTACACAGCTGGGCATCCATAAATATTAGCTGACCCAGGGCTGGTTTCCTTCCAACTACCGGTTTATATTTAAGGGCAGCATCTCTACAGTCCAGTAATTGAAAATAATTTTAGTCGGATGATACCGGCGTATGGTTCAGCTCTCTATGATTCAGCTAGAAATGAAATTACATTTTTTTTTAAAGTGCTTCAAAAGTGCTAAAATTGTTACTGGCAACAGATTAATAGCTGTACCAAAAAAAAAAAAAGATTATAGACTCTCGCTTCTGCCCTTTTGTCTCTGGTTTAAAAAAAAACACTGGTTGAAACTTAATTTCTGCTGACTAGTTTTTTTTCCCCCTCAACTTCTCACCAGTTGAACGGGTTCATCTGATATTTTTTTTATCCTCCTTTCAAGAATTGTTTCCCCCTCGCTTTTCCTTTTTTCGAACGCCTATTTAAATACAAAGATGAAAGGCAGATGCCATTGCACATTGCAGGCTCTGCTCACTGAAGACAACTTCACTTTGAGAACTTCGAGTATCTTTGCAAAACCTGAGCAAAAAAAGGAGACGGGGGGGGGGGGGAAACGAGAGACGAAGAAGGGCGGCCCGAAAAAAAATCCCCCCCGAAAATTAGCAAGTCAAATTAAGATCTCCCTTACCTTTCTTCCTTCACCCGGTTTCTCTTCTGGATGGCCAGCATGTTTCCGTCCATTTGAAATGCGTCCTCAGGTGTCCTTTTTCAACCTGGCCGGTTTCAAAAAAGAAAAACACCCCACCTCCTTCTAAATCCTGATGCCGCAGGTGGAAAGTGACTTTCTGCGTCTGGGGAGGAAGCTGGTTGACAGAGGCATGACCGCGCCCCCCCCTCCACCTCCCACCTGGTGGTTGCTCAGCCAGAATCGATCTGCCGGCTGTGGGAAAAAGAGGGTTGAGCAGCTGGGCTGAATTCAGCTTTCTGAATGGAATGACAGCCAAGTGCACAAGGCCACCGGCTCAATGCACGGACCTCTCTCTCTCCTCTCCTCTCTCTCTCTCTCTCTCTCTCTCTCTCTCTGTCCTCTCTGTCTCTCCTCTCTCTCTTCTCTACTCCCTCCCTCTCTCTCTCTCCTCTCTCTCTCTGTCTCTCCTCTCTCTCTCTCTCCTCTTCCTCTCTCTCTTTCTCCTCTCCTCCCTCTCTCTCTCTCTCTTGCATGCGCGCTCCCTCTGGAGAAAAGGATGCTCCGTTCTTACTGTGCCCTGTCTGTCTGTCTGTCTGTCTGTCTGTCTCTGTCTCTCTCTCTCTGTTTCGTCTGTCTCCACCCCTCTCTCTCCCTCCCCCACTTCAGCTCAGCAATTCATCTTTCTCGAGAGGGCAGATGCAAAGTTTTTGGCACGGGTGGTCTTCTCATCAGGGACCCTTTCATTAAGACCCAACTTTAGAAGTAAAGAGAACTTTTTGTGGGACAGTTCATCACATATGCATTTAAAGTGTGTGTGTGTGTGTTTGTGTAGTCTGTGAGTGCATTCTGAGTATTAAAAGGGGTATTAAAATATTGAGGGTGATAGAATAGAATAGAACAGAATAGCACAGTTGGAAGGGACCTTGGAGGTCTTCTAGTCCAACCCCCTGCCTAGGCAGGAAACCCTACACCATTTCAGACAAATGGCTATCCAGCATCTTCTTAAAGACTTCCAGGGTTGGGGCATTCACAACCTCTGGAGGCAACTTCTGTTCCACTGATTCATTGTTCTCGCTGTCAGGAAATTTCTCCTCATTTCTAAGTTGCTTCTCTCCTTGATTAGTTTCCACCCATCGCTTCTTGTCCTGCCCTCGGGTGCTTTGGAGAATAGCATGACCTTCTCTTCTTTGGGGCATCCCCTGAGATATTGGAACATTGCTATCTTGTCTCCCCTAGTCCTTCTTTTCATCAAACGAGACCTGTGATGGCGAACCCATGGCACAGGTGGCACAGGTGCCACGTGGAGCCATTTGTTAGAGGCCATGAGGCATTTCCCTCTCAGCCCCAGCGTGCGCCAGCTGACCTCTGCCTTCATTTTCGCTGGAGTTGACGGGGCAACGCCTCACGTCCCCTAACAAATGGCTCTACTCGGGGGCCTCTGTGGCCACTTTTAAGACTGGTGGACTACAACTCCCAGAATCCCCTAGGCCGGCAATCCAAGAGTGCCCAATCCACCAAGATTGGGCACCCCTGTATTGTTAATGCAGAATTCATAGAAGTAGCCAGAGATGCAAGAAACGTCAGCTTTTGATGACCAAGAATGATGAAAGCACACACAATATTACATTTATTGGTCTTTTAAAATGCCTCCTGGAAGACGGGAGGAAGAAGAAATAGCAATAGCAATAGCAGTTAGACTTATATACCGCTTCATAGGGCTTTCAGTCCTCTCTAAGCGCTTTACAGAGTCAGCATATCGCCCCCATCAACAATCCGGGTCCTCGTTTTACCCACCTCAGAAGGATGGAAGGTTGAGTCAACCTTGAGCCAGTGAGATTTGAACCGCTGA